ATGGTGAACAGAGAAGCTGTGGAATTCATATCAACCCTCTTGATGTACTTTTTTTAAGAGATAACAGCTGGATTAAATTGTATCATACGACACAGATGGCAATTCTGATGTAGTCAGTAAGGTGTTTAAATGTAAACTTAGCATTACATTATCAAAAACGTGATTAGCATTTGAAAATTAGACAAATGTACTGGATAAACAGTAATTTTATTAATTTATCAAAATAAAAGTTTGGGACAGTAATTCATGCTTTTGTGACCACTAGGTTAGATTACTGTAATGCACTATGTGGGGAGTAGCAGGTCAGCTATTGCCCGTTTGCAAATGGTACAAAAAGCTGCAGCACCCATGTTGGTACTTGCAAATATGACCAAATTTCATATATTTTATCTTGTATTTTATGTACTATTAGGCTTATTTTGTTGTATGTTTTCTGTACAGCCCTTTGGCTCACTTCTGTGTTTTAAAGTCTTATGTAAATTAAGTTTGACTTAATTTAAGTTTGAATTAATTTACACAATTAGGTAATTTGTTGAAATAATTGCAGTATACCTTAATTTAACTTTTTTTTTATTTCATAAGATTTCAAAAAATTGTTTTAGCTGCTTAAAAGTACTTATATAAAATTACCTAAATCGACACAATTCTTTTTTTAACAACTTAAATGTTTTATGTTGTAGCCACTTAAGTTTGTAAAATCAATTCTGCTTATTTAATCAATTTGTGTTGGGACAATATGAAGGAATTGTGTGGAACCCAGCATTTATTACAGTGTATACTCAAATAACTTTTGCAGCTTGTTTAAACTACTTATTTAAAATGAGTTGAAACAACACAATTTTTAAGTTTTTTGGGGGGACAACCTAATTATTTTATCTGCAAACTACTTAAATTTATAAGAGATAAAACTAACTTAATTGATTTGTGTTGGAACAACATGAAGGAATTGTGTGGAACCCTGCATTTTTTATCGTGTAATTTGCTACGCTAACAGTGTTGTGTTGTATTTTGTTTATGAAACCAAGTTAGATGATTCACAATGCTGTTTTAAAATATGATGTTAAATTATTTATATTTAAATATATTTGTTTATGCATTACTATTAATAGATTGTAAAAATATATAGCTAATTTCTTTTCAGGCACACAGACTTAAATGAGACCAAAGAAACTGCAAAAACAACAACAATACAAAAGGAAAAAAATCTTTAAATATTTTTGTTTATTTTAATGTTATAAAGTGAAGTTTCACAAACTAATTACGAGAGATGAACGTAATATGATTGATCGCAGCTGGTCTCTCATCTATAATCATTAGTAAGCCAATCCCATTAAGCCAAACACACTATAAGTAGCCTGTCTAAAACTACACCCTTATCTTCGTTTTCCGAAGAACCCATTAGTTTTTTGTAAACCATGAAACATTTTTTTATCTGATCATATGGGTTTCCCGTAGTCTAATGTTTGAATACATAGGCTACATGTTGGTATGCCATATCCTTTACAAATAAACAAGGTGCTAATGTCTGTATATGCCTGCAGCATTCATCTTCCATTCATCCGTCAATCCATTATTATTCATGACATCAAACAGGGGATAACTGTTAACACTTGGTTTTCCTGATTCTCTGACACCAACCTGTTAAACTTTATTTTTAAATAGAAATTAGTAACCATATTTGGCAAATTATGCTTCATCAACTGGTCACATGGATGCTAACTGGCTGATAACACCACAATCCAAGTTTATCATTGTTTCACATATGTTTTAATGATTCTCCGTATAAATAGAAAATGTTCGTCTGTATTGCAAGAGTTAAGTGTTTTTGAACCATACAATAAAGTTCTTCATCTGGTGGTATTTGTAGTTGCTATGATAATACAACAACTATAACATAAATTACCCAATACTGTATTAAATTATACTACAACACCATTTACTGTAATTAAGTATACTGAAGCAAACTGTATTGCAGCATCTGTAGTTGATGTAGTTGATCCGTTAATCTTATAGTGTGCTGTAGAATTAATTAACAAATTTGTACAATAATAAATGCAGTATGATACTCTTCATGTTTCAATAACAGCCTATATGCCTATTTACTATAAATTACTCATATTTTTCTTGTGGACACGTAAAGCTTATTGTAAGTACACTTGGTTAATTAATAAAGTGTCAGAAACTTGTATAACATGAGGCTATCATTTCGTTTTATTATCATAAGAACCTAAAAGCAATCATTTTATCCATATGCATGCACTATAACCATTTCAAACCTGTTTTTGAGTGGCTTTCTGAAAACTGTGAAATTGTTGCACAGACTGTTTGTTGATCACAGGATGGGCGGTGAAGGGAATGACTTCATTTAGACAAGATTAAAACTCTTTGACAGCCAGATGGAGCGCATAAGCAGCCCGAGTCTTGCGATCACATGTGAACAGGGTGCCTAAATTTAGGTTTTCTCCAATGAAACTGGTTGAGAAAGACGTGCGATTGCAGGTTCTCATCAAAACACCCATCTCGAACCGTTTATTTTCCAAAGCTTATACTTATCGCGAGCGCTTCATTCCAAAGTTTAACTTTGGACGTTTGACGAGTATAATTACCGTTCATTATTTGCAGCCGGTGTTAAAATTGCGCAATTAAAAGCATCCGCTGAAAGGTCGACACAAATTGAGACAGCTTCATTTGAATTTACGACCGTGTTATTACTGATGATTAAGGTGTATTTTCTTCTCCATATTAATCCAAAGTCAGTTTTGAACAAAAACTAGGGGACATTAGTTGCTTTGTTAACAAACAGATTTAAGTAATCTAACATTTAGACTTATAGAATTATTAAATGGATAATCACCCAAATCTGAAAAGTCTGTCATGATTTACTGACCCTTCACTGGCATTGAGTTTCTTTTAAATACATAAGATAATATTTTACATAAAAGTTAAATCTGTGACTTCCATAGTGTTTTTTGATTTTTTTCTACAATGATTGTCAGTGGTTACCTTTTCAGTTTTATTGAAAATATATTTCTACAACAACAGCAACTCAAAGGTTTGCAACCACTTAAGGGTGAGTAAATTTATATTATGTACATTTAAACCCCAACATGTAGGCTATTAATAATAATATAGCATAATTATGATGACATTAGCTGAAAATAAGAAGATAGATAGATAGATAGATAGATAGATAGATAGATAGATAGATAGATAGATAGATAGATAGATAGATAGATAGATAGATAGATAGATAGATTGATTGATTGATTGATTGATTGATTGATTGATTTTTGGGGGACAACTTAAATGTTTTAAGTTCAGTTCACTTAATTTTGTAAAAGATTAACCTAACTTAATTGATTTGTGTTGGGATAACATGAAGGAATTTTGTAATACTCAATAATTTTTATAATAAATTTTGTTACTAGCTAAAAAAGTACTGGATTCCAGAGTATTACTTCATGTTGTCCCAACACAAATCAATTAAGTTAACTTACAATTTTTCTCAGTCACTTTGGTGAGTTTCTCAAAACACTAGTGTATTTCTGCCCAACAGTTAATGCATTTCTCAAAACAACTAGTACAAACTGCAAAACCTAGATGATGTGTGTCACTTGCTCAAAATGGATAGTTCATTCCTTAAAAGCAAGTAATCAAAGTATCAGTGTCATCAAGATGAAAAGTCCTGACACCATTGTTTATGAACAAGATAGTCAAATGGATTAGTCATGTTTTCATTATGACAGTTTACTCTGTACATTTTTTCAATACAAAAAAAAGTCAGATTTTGGTGACGCTTCCTGAAAATGCTCTAGACAGCACTTTATACTATTTGCACAGCCATTTGAAAACTACAGTAAAGTTACACATCACTGCATTTAGTGAGGTATCTGAGTACAAGACACTGAAGATGTATGTTTCACATTTTTACTGCTTTATGCTCGCTGCAATTCTAATTTATTCACAGCATTGTGCAAAAGAATAAATAAAGCCTTATTTACAACAAACATAAACTTCCTTTGGGCAGAGCTGTGCACAACTGTAAAAAATATTGCAGAACATATTGGTACTGAACCTACAATATACACAGGTCTGTAAATCATTCATGAAATTGTTCAATTTAGAAGAAATTTTCAGGAAAATAAAGATTTGACAACTAGTTCAACATTGTTGTATGTAATGACTCAAGTAATGAAATGAGGACTATTAGTTTTATATGGAATGAGCATTAAGCATTTACAAGTTTAGTTAATTTTGACTGACATGACAAGCAAATGATAATGTTTTAAATAGCAGAGAGTTGTATGAAAGCAATTGATGCATGTCCAAAAGCATGTGCAATGGATACTGCTACTAGGATGTGCACAAATGACTAATTGTTTTGGGAAATGCATTAACTGTTGTGCAAATGTAAATAGTGTGAGAAATGCACCAGAGCCACTCAGAAAAACTGTAATTGTTTGTTTGTTTGTTTGTTTGTTTGTTTTTGTTTTGTTTGTTTGTTTGTTTGTTTGTTTGTTACAAATTCAGGTGAATTGAACATAAAACAATTAAGTTGTCAAAAAAAAACTCAAGAATTGTTTTGGCTCATTTTAAATAAGTAGTTTAAACAAGCAGCAAAAATAATTCTTTGAGTGTATACACAAACATATAGTAACAAAGTCTGTTTTTTGTTAGTGTATAGTAAGAAAGATAATGTAACAATGTTGTGTTGGATTATGGGTGTTTATGAAACCAACCATGATTCATATAGAAACTAATATTTAATATTAGGAAAAATAATAGGTTTAATAATTATTAAAAATATTTCAAATAAATAATGTCACTTCTAATTGTATTTAGTCTCATTTTAGTATTAGCCTAAATATATCTTCATCTCCTATTTGTCTAATTTTGTGAGTATATGTATATTATGGGTGTGTTTCCATAAAAGGAGTTGGCCGGATGCTGTGTGATGTGGTGCAGGAGTCCGGTCTCGTGCGCAGCTCATTATAATGTTTAGTACGCAGGGTTCGCGCAGAGAAAGGCGCGCAGCTTGCAAGAGGGCAGCAGCAGACGCGTGGAGCGCGCACTCAACATATGACAGCTCAACACGGACATACCGTACACTCTCTCTGCACATCTTTAAGCAGCATATATGGATTACACTCGGACACACAGGGCTGAAGCCATGCACTCTTGTTTGTCCCGCATGCGTTTTCGATGCTTTTTCCTCATGTTGTCATTTTTTTGCGAAGCTGCAGCTTTTAACCTGGATTTAGAAAAGCCCACGGTTTACAATGGACCTGAGGGAAGTTATTTTGGATACTCACTGGACTTTTACCACCCAACACAGGATAGAAACGTGTAAGTGGCAATTTCAGTGAATTATTTAGCTGTTTTGTTTGATAAAAAGTTTTCAAAGAGAAGTATCTTCCAGTAGCCCAAGTGTAGAAATAACCATAACTCAGTCTTGGTTTGGTTTATGCCAAACAATATTTAAGAGTATTCTTCGCAGCTTTTTTATGCAAAAACACTTTCAGCACCACCAATATGGACCAACACAATTCTGAAGTTGATTTTTGAGGGAATTTAATTAGAATGCTGACATAAAATAGATAAACATAAATTTTAAGAACAGTTGAGATATTTTCTCACTTGTAAATGCTTTGATCCAGTAGGATGCCGTTGTGTGTAGATTTATGCCTTTCTCTCTCCAGCATGTCGGTGTTGGTTGGGGCTCCTAAAGCGAACACCTCTCAGCCGGGGATTGTGGAGGGAGGAGCGGTGTACTACTGCCCCTGGCCGGCATCAGACCCAGACTCCTGCCGCCAGATCCCCTTTGATAAAGCAAGTAGGTACCCTCATGATTTATTACCCATGGTTCATGCAAAAGGTCCAGGTCCCACTGACGCAATTAGCCCCCTTCATTGAGAACGAGTACTTTTTATCGTTGTAATTACTAAATTAATTTAATTCCAGTTTTTCAATTAAATCTTATTCGCAAACAGACATCAGGCTATATATAGGCTACTTTTTATTTCTGAAATCTGCTTACACAGATATTTCCTTTCCCATGCTTCATCTTCAGACTCGGCTGCATAAATTCCTCTTCCTCCAATAAAAAGATCAAAAACCACATCCAAGAAAGAGTTAATTTCGCCGCATATGGTTTGGTTTAAAATTTCAGGAGCGGAGTAATTACCAGAGAAAGGCGCGTAACTTTACCTCAGCGCGTAATCTGCCGTAATTTAGACGTCCATTACGCGCGTCTATTAGTAAGGTCACCAGAACATTTTATCTTTGCATTTTTAATTTCTTTCTTCTGTAATTGGTCATGTCTTATTTTATGATGGGAAAATGTGAAGAATAGATCATGTCAATAGAAATTGTGCAACAGAGCCGAACTCGAAGTGAACACTTTTGATTCATTGATTCAGATCTATTATGTCATTTGGGGAGAAGTTTTCGTGAGTTTTTGGTATATTATTAGACTATTTCGAGAAGACATGGTCTGCCTGAAAATGCAGTGGGTTTGGATTCAGGAAAGCGGCATGGACTGCAGACAGACTCAGAGTTGGATGCTGGGGAATGTGAGCGCTGATGTTTCGTCAGAGTCGCGTGGTTATATTCAGTGCACTCTCTAGAGGGAGCTTTGATCGCAGAATTTATGTGCTGTTTGTGAATCTAACTTGGGCTCTTATCAGAATGGGCTGTGACCTTCTTTTAGAGTTAAAAACACACCATTAGACATTAAATTGTTAAAAATAAACTCTGAATTAAGGATTTGACAGAATAGTGAGATATAGGCCAAGAAATTACAAGAGATCTTAAACTTAAAATTGTGAGGGATAAACAGTTTTGAGATTCACAATTAATTCTGAATCTATATGTCAAATGTTGGAAAAATTATACTAAAATGATACAAAAAATTGAAGTAAAAATTGTGATATACACTGCTGTTAAGAAAAACGGGGTCAGTTTTATTTATTAATTTTTTTTCATGTTTTATTATATATTTTTTATTATTTCATTCATCAAAGCAGCGTTTATTAAATGTAAAATGGTAAAATGTCAACTTGTTAATTATTTATTACAATTAAAAAAACTTATTGTATGTAGTTTCTTATTGTATGTAATTTCAAATAAAATTATTCCAGTCATTTTTGCTTTTATTACTATTACAATTAATAATAATAAACATAACATAAATATTAATATTAACAATAATAAAAAATTAAAGTAATTTCTGAAGGATCATGTAAATGAAGACTGGAGTAATGAAGATGTAAATTCATCTTTAAAATCACTGGAATAAATTATTAAACTAAATGATCAACTACTTTTGAACAGTTATTTTATGGTGCAAGAACATTTAACAATTTTACAATTTGTACTGTATTTTTGATGAAATAAATGCAGCCTTGATAAGCAGGATCAGCTTATTTACTGACCTCAAATATTTGACCGGTAACCAAGAGTTGCAAGAAAAAAAATCACAATTGTGAAACATAACTGTGAAAAAGTCAGAATTAAGCTCAGAATTAAATTGTGAAAAAGACGAACTTATAATTGCAAGAAAAAATGACACCACTGTAAGATAAAACTCATCAATTGTGAAAACTTAAGTTAGATTCCATGTAGAAACAGATTAATATAGGTCCTTATAATAATGAATTATCAGTTTATATTTAAGAATTGTAAGAAAAAGGTTATTTGGACAGAAAAATCACCAATATTTTACTCAAAATTATGAATTTTTAATTTAGATTTACATGAAATTAAAATACCTAATGCTGAAATTGCTTATAAGATCATTTTTGTTGAATCATTATTGTTTGATTATAGTGTTTGGCTATTAGTTCTGAATTGTTCTTTCGTTATTTTTATTAGATTATTTATTTTACTACTGTTTAGTAGTCTGACTGTGTCATCTTTAGCCATTCAGCCATCTTCAGCCACCGAGAAGCGTTTCAGACACTATAGTGTATGTGTGTGTGTGTGTGTGTTATATACATCAGTTCAGGAATTGGCATTGAAATGGATTGTCTGTTTGAGATGAAAGCATTGATGCTCTGGTTCAAGATGGTTGGTTTTAGATGGAGCCTGATGGTGATGAGGTGAGTGAAAGAGGCTTAAAAGAGCTGTGAACACAAGGGAAATAAGAAAACAGACAAGGGAGGGCAGAAGCGATGTCTGTTCTTTGTTAGCGTCATGCATTTTGTCGTTCTAGAACATCTACTCAGATCACACACGTTTCCAGATTCATTAGTCACATTGTTTTTAAGACACTTGACCTCTGATCCTGTGTGCTCTTCCCACTGTGGCCCTCAGAGCTCTCCATGGGGGGCAAGGCCCGCGTGTGTGTGCGTCTGACATCTCTGATGACAGTGTGTGTGACTAATGCTGTCCTGACTGAGAAGAGTTAATTCATTGGATACACCAGACAGGATCATGTACCAAAGAACTTCGTAATTCTCGCATGCACACAACTTCATAGTTGCATGTCCACACACTCTAGAGGCACATTTCACTTCAACTTATACTATATGGCTGTTAAATGCTTGATTATGATTTGCTGATTATTAGCTGTACAATTATGTAAAGGCACAGCAGCTATATAAAAGTACAGCTAAAGTAGTTCCACGGAAGTCATGACCGCATTACAGTTTTAAATAACTACACATAATGGTTTGAGTTAATTCACAGCTTACAAAAGGCAAAACTCTAATTAATACAAAATAAAAAGCTGAAAATGAAGTGTGTGAAACACTAGACCCACGCACACTGAATGAACTAGAGCTGCACAACATATAATTTCAGCATCGATATCGCAATGTGTGCATCTTCAGTATTCACAACATCTGTAATGTTGAGTTGGGATTATTACCCAGACACAACAGTTCACATGATGTGAGTCTTCACAAAGTTTAACCATCATAGATTGAAAGATTTTCATTTAGATGGGGCTTCAAGACCTGTAACTATGCAATGTTTTAAGCGAATTTAAACGAAGAAATTATATCTTTTGTAGTTTTAACAAAAGTTAAAACAAAAGTTTTATTGTATTTAATTATTTATACAATGAAGATCATGCAGTGTCATTTTAAATTTCAGTATTTAATCACTGGTTATTCAATAACACGGGTCATTTCACTTTCATCTTTGTTCTATTTTATTAATCTAGGCTTTTATTTTGTATTTTATGCAATACAAAATACTCTCAGTGTAAAATTAGGAATTCTTTCCAAATAGATTTAAAGTCATCTTGTGAAATTATATTCATATGTATACTCATATATTCATATATGCCACAGCCATATGACCCTGCAGCCCAAGACCGGTTATTTACTGAAGCTAAGCATGGCTGAGCCTTGTTCAGAACCTGGATGGGAGACCGCATGGAAAAACTAGGTTGCTGTTGGATGCGGTGTTAGTGAGGCCAGCAGGGGGTGCTCAACCTGCAGTCTGTGTGAGTCCTAATGCCCCAGTAAAGTGAAGGGGACACTATACTGTCAGTGAGCATCGTCTTTCAGATGAGACATGTAACTAAGGTCCTGACTCTCTGTGGTCATTAAAAATCCCATAGCACTTCATGTAAAAGAGTAGGGGTGTAATCCCAGTGACCTGGCCAAATACCCTCCATCGACCCATACAATCATGGCCTCCCAATCATCTCCATTCATCGCATTGGCTCTATCACTGTCTCTTCTCTCCACCAGTAGCTGGTGTGTGGTGAGCTCACTGGCGCTGTTGTCCTGTGGTTGCCGTCGCATCATCCAAGTGGATGCTGCACACTGGTGGTGGTGTGAAACGCTTTGGATGTATGGCCATACACGATGAATGCGCTATATAAATACACATTACTTACTTACTATATAGCAGAAAAGCAAAATGTTACAATTATTGCAATATTGTCAGTTTTATTTTCAATAATGTGTAGCCCAAATCTGAACAATAAGTGTGATAGCCATGGTATAAGCAGAATAATTGACAGCGGTCTGTTGAATTATTACAGCATAATGCACTCCTAGGTGTGCATTATATACTAATAATTCAACAACCCAGCATTAATTATTACTAACATGAATATGTAGATACAGAGTACATGATCTAAATATGTTAGTGAAGGCATTTGTTTTGTTTACACTGATCATGCTTTTTAATACTATAGAAGTTTTCATTCAGAAGAGTGTGGGGGGATCATTTACCACAATAGTATATTAATGAGTAAAATGAAAAGGAAGAATGACAAGCATGTGTTTATGACCCAAAAATGAAACAGATGTTTAAAAGGACCAATGATGCCCTGCTGGGTTTTTATATTGTGAGTCTGACCTTGCATTTTACCACAGTGTGTGTCATCAGAACATGTGTTCATTTGAACATGGTGTCCTGCTTTGTTCTGGCATTTTTCTTACTTTACTGTGTTTAGAATTTCACTATCATTATGTTTATGAATCGAAAATAGTATCGCATGAGTATGTTAGTGTGAAGAATATAGTGTTTACTGTACTTTTGTTCACACAGTCTGCTGATCTCCATCAGAAACAACAGCCTCCTAATATGCAACACGATCATGTTGCACTTATCAGCTTACAAAACATTATCAACAAATGCAAACCAAAGCTAAACATTTGCATAATAACAAGAAAAGCATGTTTCGGCATGCTGACCTCTGGGATACATTTGTAAGTGATGCTTTCCTATGAACAAATACAGCAAATGTGACCAAAGTGGTGTTAAAGGTGATTGCTTTGAGGTTTCTCTGTGTCTGTTGTTTTGGTGTGAATTGGGCGTTGCAAGAAAGTAAATGTAAATGGAGTATGGCTGACCACCATATTGATACTGCTGACTCAGTAAATGTATTGCTAGAGTGTTTTGACTGTTTAGTTAGGAGTTCATGTTGATTGCTATCACATTCATTGATCTGGATGGTTGCTATACTGTGCAGTTGCTAGAGATTTTGGCTGGTTGGTACGATGCACTGTTTAGCTGTCTGTGAAAAAGTGTACACCGAAGTCTCAGATATGCTTCAAGTCCTTGTTTTGAAGTTCTGTTAGTCTATAGAAGTGTTTTGCCAGGTAAATTCTGTAAATCAAAGTCTTTAAACTTTTAACGGAGAACAAGCTATATCCCAAAAGACTAGGAAGCAAAATTGAAAATTCTGTCATTCATTCACTCAACCTTCACTTGTTGCAAATCTGTTTGCATTTCTTTCTTCTGTTGAACACCAAAGAGTATACTTTGAAGAAAGCTGGAAACTGGTTACAGCCAGAAAACTGATTTAAAGACATGGAACTACTTGAGGTTGAATGTTTGCGTGAGTGAAAAAGTCTATTTTTTCATAGCATAGTGCTATGAAGCACAAGTCACACAGAACTCACTTTCAAACTAAGCAACTTTTTGTTGGTCAATTTAGTGAATTCACATGACCAGCTTGACTTAATTCTCAATCACATGGATTTTAATTAAAATTACATTTGCAAACAAGAAAATGGAGGATAAAAGGTGGAGGGATGGCAGGTAAAGAGAAGTGCTTATTTTGTTTTTAAGTTTATTTTTCTTTCAACTATGAACTGTTACATTGAAATAAAGTATCCACAGTATTAAAGGTGATGCTGGAATTTGGGTAGGAAGATTGCCTCACAGCAAGAAGGTCCCTGGTTCGAGCCTCAGCGTAGTCAGTTGGCATTTCTGTGTGGAGTTTGTATGTTCTCCCCGAGTGTGTGTGTGTGTGTGTGTGTGTTTGTGTTTGTGAATGCAAGTGTATGGATGTTTCCTAGTGTTGGGTTGCAGCTGGAAGGGCATCCGCTGTGTAAAACATATGCTGCAAAAGTTGGCAGTTCATTCAGCTGTGGTGACCCCTGATTAATGAAGGGACTATATAGCCTGGTTTATACTTCAGCGTCAAGTGATCGGCTTGACCCACGGCGCATGCAATGCATGTAGCTGTGCATACATACTTCTGCCCGCTGTTTCTGTTGCTCTGCAATAATACTTCCAAAACGCTAATTAGCAGTGAGGTGTTTATGTTCCTCTGTATCAAGTTTCTTCGCTGATGTTTTTTTTTTCTGAACGCTTCGTTAATGTTCAAGTGGTTAAACTCATTTTGAGGCAGGAACTGGTGGACGTGCAACAACTTTAACCACAAGGTAATCACAAAGCAATAGTCTCCATCTGGAGCTTCTTGTAAACAGTCGACACTTGTAATCAATTGCTCTAACGGACGACGCTTTGCCCCGCACACACTCGTCAGCGCTTCCAAGCCGACCAATGACAGAGCTTGCGATGTGCGTTGTTGCGACGTGTAGTTAAATTTTTTGAGAGGTGCGCCTCAGGTGCATCCACGCGTAGGCTGCGCCGTAGCATCCACGTGCGCTTGACGCAGAAGTATAAATCAGCCTTAAGCCTAAAAGAAAATGAATGAATGAATGAATGAATGAATTAATTAATTAATTATGGATTATTTTCATCAGTTCAGTCACACAGTTTGTGAGGGATTTGATTGGTGCCTCTCAGAGGATGTGACACATTGCATACAGCAGAAGAGCACTTTAGAAGACTTTTTTTTATCAGAGGAAACAAAAAAAAAACAATCATTTTGCTAAAATTAAAATCTAGATGTTTCCTTTTTTATGCAATTAGAATAAAATCAATTGTTCACTATGTTTGTTTACCATTTTGTCTTTGGTATTTCAAATCAGGCTCTGCAAAATCTAAATCAAGATTTATATTTAGCGGCTTATTTATTTATTAGTTCATATGTTATTGGTTTTCATATATTGAGAGCAATTAATAGTTTTGATCCAAAAATGTTTTCATCCAAAAATGTAAATTAACTTTATGCGCAAAACTGGAATATTTCATATTAGACATACTGTACAAATAAAGCAGCGTTTCCATACAACGAGTCAAAGAGAACAAAATCGTCACTTCCTTATTAACTGGTGGCAAATATTAACACTAAAAATGGAGTTTACTGTGGTATGAAAAGCTGCGTGAATCATTTCTTCATTTATTAAATGACTTGCGCCTCAGAAGACAAATGCCGATATGCAGTGAACATGTGGGGTAGTTTTTTTTTTTATGTTCTTGACTGTTCTGGAGGTAATTATTAGTATTAACGGTTAGAGTGTTTTAGAATAACCAAAACAACATTTCAGATGTTTTACAGTGCGCTCAGTCCGCTGGTTTGTCCATTCTCACACATTTTCATCATCAAGTAATCTCTCATAACAAAATCACATGACTTTTTTAATGCGCATACTGAAATTTGTTCGGTAAAAGTGTTTCTACTGTAGTGTATGCGCATCTTTTCTCATCGATGAAAAAGTTAATCCTACTCAGTTATGTGCATATGTTTTTTATGCACATTTTCAAAATGATGCTCATCTTGGCATTTCTATCAACCGTCTTTTTATGAGCATCTCCAAAACGTGCATTAAAGTAGGTGGATGGAAACATAGCTACTGTCAGCCAAAAGTTCCATATCAGAGAATACATCCCTAAAAAATCTAAATCTTTAACCACACAAGTTAAAAAAATAACAACTACATTTAGCATGAAGAAAAAGGCCCATAGTAATGGCTGGAGAGAAAGCAGAGAAGGATTAGAGGTGATGTGTTTTTATGAGGTGTAGACTGTACCTTATGGAGCTCTAAACAGGTCCAGCTGTCGCAAGATCTTCTCTGGATCACACAGAACCCTGTAGACCCAGATCCGAAGAATCATGTACATGTGTACACACACTTTGAGTGTAAAACGACCCCCTGAAGTTGTGCCTTCACATAAACAAACACACTCATCTGCAAGCAGGCTAATTTGCTGTTGTTCCAGAGTGGCTATATTGGCACCATTTACGTTCCTTGGGTTCCTGATGTTTTCTGTTTATTATAAACTGAAGTCCAACTCTCTGTTTTTCTGTAACTTTCCTTTTTCTTCTTTCTTTTTTCCCAGATAACCGTATGATTAAAGTGAACGGGACACGAGAGCCTCTAGAATTTAAATCCCATCAGTGGTTTGGAGCAACAGTCAGGACCCACAAAGGCAAAGTGGTGGTAAGTGATGCTCAGAAATGTAATCCAGTTAAAGACCATTTGCAGTCATATTCATGCTGGATGCTTGCTTCCGTGCGTTCATGGATGTGGTTGGAAAATGTACTCTTTATTATTGAGTATCTGCCATTCAATGGCTTTATATCTATTTAATAGTATTGCATTAGTGTTTCATTCACCAATGTATGGGATCCAGAATCAGAGGCTCATTCATGAAAGCATTGGAGTGTTGGATTGTTTTGGGAAAATGTTTTGATAGGAAATGTGGCTCTGTTCTGTTACTGAGGGGCTTTTGGAAAATGTTGATTTGAGGTTGACCATGTGAGAAGGAGAACTGCTGATGTATGAAAGAAAGAAGCCCGAGTTATTACATGAAAGGAGGCCTGGTGCCCAAATGTGTCTGCCGTAGTTCACACAATCCAAAACCGAAAACATTTGCTTTTTCAAAAGCTTTTATTCAGAAATATTGTATAAGATGAAAGATTTCCCCCATCCCTATCTCCTGTTCAGACTTTAAAGTCTCAGTTCATCCAAAAATCTAAATTTTCTCGTCATTAATTCTCAATCATGTGGTTTTAAATCTTTATGAGTTTCTTTCATCTGTTGAACACAAAATATGATATTTTGAATTGAATTGAACTTTATTTTGACAGATTTTAGACAAGCTGTACAAAAATACAAGTAACCTATACATTTTGAAATAAAAACTGTTAAGGATAAAAACAAAATAAAGCCCTGAGCTTGTTTCCATTGCAGTCCTCGCTGTTAAATAAAACACATTTTAAAACAGGAATAAAATAATTCACAAATACATTCCTTTATTCATTCATTTTCTTTTCGGCTTAGCCCCTCTATTAATTAGGGGTCACCACAGCGGAATGAACCGTTAACTTATCCAGCATATGTATTACGCTGGCCTTCCAGGTGCAACGCTTTTCACAATTGAGTAACATCTAAAATAAAACATCCTCAGAGCCTTTTTTACAGTCTCTCACTTAAATGTCCGCTGAAAGGCATATGAATATGTGCAACAACTCTGAATCCAGTAACATCAGTCTTTACACACAGCAGCATTCATGTAAACTGACATATTACAATACTATACACAAAATGTAACAGAATTAAATATAAATTACCGTGTGCGCCCTCTTAAACCATGCAGATTGATAAACTCTTTCTCAGGCTCTGTGTCATTAGCTTCTCTCTGCCACCATGCCAGTTTCACCCATAATGCCATGGTCCCGCACTTCACTCAACTTAAACATGTGATCTGTTATGCTTCAATAGCAACTCTTTCTTTTACAAACCCATAAATTCCAACAATTTTAAGGGTGCACATTCTCTGCTTTGCATTATATTACATATTATGAGTTTATAACTGAAATAAACATACAAATTATAACAAATTAATTTGAGTTTATAACAAAAACACAAATATAACTTTGAGAAAAAAAATAACATGTCCTTGACATTTACAGCTAGGGTTTTTCAACCAATCATAATCATCCAGTGAAAGGTTAATGTGACTATTTTCGATCTCATATGGTTCCTTTTACAGCATCGATGTTGTAATGTAATTAAGATACAATCAGTTAATTAGAGTTAAGCATTCATTTAGTTGTTCAAGCATAAAACGAGATAAATGACTAGTGCTGTCAAAAGCAGCAGCAAAATACTGGGGGAAAAAAATATATTTTCATATTTTAAAGACCTGGTGGCAGAAAATGGAATTCAATGCAGAGTTTCTTTTCCGATCTAAGACCCACTTCATATTGTATATCAATCAGGCAGTGAAGATCACTGATTTGTAAAGAAATCTGACCTTAAACATAGTGATTTTGAAGTGAAAAGACTTGGGCTAGGCTGGCTGACTGAAAATTAAAAGTCTATGTGCATAAAATGTATTGCGTCTCATATTTCTTTACCGTGCAAAATTTTAATTGATGATTTATTGTCTTTTATTAGTCTATGATGGAGTGTTGTTCACAAAAACTATTGCAAACATTATTCGTCAATGAAATGAAGACTGTAACATAGTGTTTATGTGTTTCTGTAGGCCTGTGCTCCCCTCTATCAATGGAGGACAGTGAAGGTCAGCAGTGAGATGGATCCTGTGGGAACCTGTTATGTGGCTGTGCAGAACTTTAGTGCCTATGCTGAGTATTCACCCTGTAGAACCAGTGAGTGTTTATCTCTCCTTACACACACACACACACACACACACACACACACACACACACACACACACACACACACACAAATAACATTATCCCAAAAATAATAAGATGATGTACAAGAGGCATCATTGTGGAATAAAATATTTCTCAGCTTTTATTATCATTTAAACAAACATTAAGTCAGAATTTGCCAGGGGTGTGAATAATTACTGACTAGACTGTATACATAGAGACAAACTCAAATTCCTCTGATGATTTGATACAGGGATGTACTAGTCCAATGGTCCCCAACCCCCAGGCCCCAGACCAGTACTGGTCTGTGGATTAATTGGTACCAGGCCACACAAGAAATTATAAATTATTTCTGTTTTATTTATTATCTGAGTCTGAACAATCTTTTATTTAGCTTAACATATTGAAATTGAAACTGTGTCAGTCTAGTTTTTAGAGTTGACATTCAGTTTAGTTCAGTTAAGTGTGATTTAAATTTCACTACTAAAAGTCCAAACACTGAAGACCAAATCCATCAATGCGCAGCTCCACAAGTCCCAAACCAAGCAAGCCAATGGCGACAATGGCGAGGGACAAACTTCACCAATTGATGAAAGTGAAGGAAAAAAACAACAGTCCAACTAGTCCAACAGTTCTATTATTGCAGTGTTCCACAAATTCACCACTGTAAGGCTCTAATGTAATGTACAAGTTTGGGATTGGTATAATGTTTTCAATGTTTTCTTATTCTCACCAAAGCTACATTTCTTGGATAAAAATACAGTAACAATTTGGTAACCCCGGACTTGTCAAAATGAGCAGTTGTGTCAGGCTTGCATTTCACACATAAACACACATGCATCCACTGCTTCCCATACTGCCCAGTTGTGGCAGTTGTCATGGCACCCATATGCCCTACTGTAAAGATCACAGGGGAAGCACAATTTCCTGTAATTTCCTGCTTATTTCCTGTATTTTGAAGTCTCATTCACAGTCTGGGAGAGTTGATCAATTTACTCTGGTTTTATGTCCTCACATTAGATTCTGTGAAAACTTTTTATTATGCAGACATACACAGTGAGAGCATCTGTATTAACAGTTAGTGTAGTGTAAAGTGGTATATTAATAATAACTATGCCTAATGTGTTCAGAGGGAAAATTTCATGTGACATATGAGGCCATAATGGCTGAATTATTTCCCTCAAACTGTTTCATGTGCCAGCCGTCATCCTGGCGGGCCAGAGTTCTTGCCAAGATGCATGGCAGGGATGATTTTATCCGCCTTGTGTTTATGAATACCTACAGCATACACACACTGTTGGAAAGATAGTTCTGTAGAGAAAATGTGATACTGAGAGAAAATACTGGCAAATAAGAGAAACAGGGATGGAATGAGAAACAGAGGGAAAGTGTTTTTATTGCATTCAAGTGAACATGCTGGGTAGGAGACGTTGAGGTTTGGAAGTGATGTTACGGCTCATTAATTCACCCCACCTACTGTACGACACATTATATCAACACACACAGGATATAACTTACTGTACAATATATTTCAGCGTGTTCCTTGTTGAAAACAACATTCTTATGTCCCAGTCAGATTTTTTGGTTAGATTTTGACTTGGACATTTGGTTTTGATCAATTATATTATTATTATTATTATTATTATTATTATTATTATTATTATTTATTCATTTATTTAATTTTTGGCTTAGTCCCTTTATTAATTAGGAGTCGCCACAGCGGAATGAACCAAAAATTATCTAGCATATGTCTTACGCAGTCGATGCCCTTCTAGCTGCAACCTATCACTGGGAAACATCCACACAGACTCATTCACACACATACACTATGGACAATTTTAGCTTACCCAATTCACCTGTACCGCATGTCTTTGGACTTTGGATTTTTGTTAAAATATGGACGTTTTTGCAGTTTTTCCCCTCATTTTCTATTTAATTATGAGGTTTAAATACTTTTTAAGCACTATTTTATTGCTGGATTAACTTGTGGGATGGTCATAAACCGCCCTTTTTGATGTACCAAAAACATTTCCTAAAGATTTAGAAAAAAAAGAGAATAATACTTATTTTTCAGATACAAATTTATTAAATCATATATCATTAGAAAAAAGGATGCTGTTCAAATTTTAAATTAAAAACTGTTATATATTGTTATATTATTATAATAGTATTGCCTATTATCATTTATTAGTCAAACACAAACTGGCCAGCACATTTAACTTTCCTCAGATCACGCTAAAGCAACCGCCAAAACAGGATTCTGCTTGGTCTTAAAGCCTTTTTCGATGGATATTTTCCCAATTTATTATGGCATAGCAGTCAACATAGGACAAACAAGCTTGTGTAAGGGATATATTCTGGACATTTGTCAGTGAGTGGTGGGTCTTTCGAACCATCCGAATCCATCCACCCCCCACCCCCAGCTACGGGCCTGCAACCCATCACTGGGGAACACTCATACACTCTCATTCACACAAATACATGGCCAATTTAGCTTACCCAATTCACCTATAGTGCTTGTCTTTGGACTGTTTGGCACCCGAAGGAAACCCACACGAACATGGGGAGAACATGCAAACCCCACACAGAAATGCCAACTGACCCAGCCGAGACTTGAACCAGCGACCTTCTTGCTGTGAGGCGACAGCGCTACTCACTGCACCACCGTGCCGCTTTTTAATTTTTATTATAATATTGTGAAAGTATTTTACTGTTTTGATAAATATATAATAAATATATTTAATGATTAAGTTTTCAAAGAGTAATGTACACATTGTATCTACATTAATCTTACTTAACTTGTGACCTTTTTGAGGAATTGCATCATATCAAATCATATATTGTACACATCTGTCTTCAGGGTGCTGAAACTTTATTTACTCATTCATATCTTGATGACTTGTATTACTGAGGTTTCTGTGATCTCTGTAGATAACCCAGACCCAGAGGGCCAGGGCTTCTGCCAGGCGGGCTTCAGTGTTGATTTTACTAAGGTAATAAATCTCACTCCTCAACCCTGTCTGTGTATTTCATCTTTATGATTACAAAATTTCTGAAATGTTATTCTTATTTCAGTTCAAAATTAAAGAAACTTTTACTTCCAGTTTTTTTTAATAAATAAAGTTGAAATCAGAATTATTAGCCTCCCTTTGATTTTTTTTCCCCAAATGATTTTTAACAGAGCAAGGACATTTTCACAGTATGTCTGATAATGTTTTTTTCTTTTGGAGAAAGTTTTATTTGTTTTATTTTAGCTAGAATCAAAGCAGTTTTTAATTTTTTAACACAATTTTAAGGTCAAAATTATTAGCCCCTTTAAGCTATATTTGTTGACAGAAAAAACATCTCTATACAATAACTTGCCTAATTACCTTAACCTGGCTAGTTAACCTAATTAACCTAGTTAAGCATTTAAATTTCACTTTAAGCTGTATAGAAGTGTCTTGAAAAATATTTAGTCAAATATTATTTACTGTCATCCTGGCATAAAAGATAAGAAAAGATAAAATAAATCAGTTATTAGAAATAAGTTATTAAAACTATTATGATTAAAAATGTGTTGAAAAAATCTTCTCTCCATTAAACAGAAATCGAGGGAAAAATAAATCAGGGGGACTAATAATTCAGGAGGTTTAATAATTCTGACTTCAACTTTCTATATGTAGAATGACCCTACTTTTTATCCCTTTGACCCTTGATCCATTTGTAATTTCTCCGGTGTGCCTTTTGAGGCAAGGGGAGTGAACTTTTCTTGCACAGATCCTACTGGCTGGCTTACGTTACATTCACCCCCTAAACCTCCCTTCCATCTAGGTCACTGCACCGATGTAAATCTTTTTGATTTATTCACCCTGCACTGAATGAGAACCAGCATAAGTAAGCTAAAGACTGAAACCTCTGGTGTCAGTCACTGCTGTTCCTCTTGAGACCTGGGGAGTAAGTTTTACTTGAGCAAATCCTACTAGCTGGCCTCAGCTGCACTTAGCACCTCCAGTGTGTCACACACCGAACATTTTTACAAAGTTTTCTATACCTTGATAAGCAATGCAAATAGACACCTAATGGTGGTGCTGGTGTGTATATCCTTATAGAAAACAATGTTTATAATTTAAAAGAGGTACAACATGGCAAGTTCAGTGTGTGACCTGCTTTAACCTCAGCCCTGAATCTCACCCCTAATGCAACTGTCCTTCTCGCCCCACTCCAAGCAAGAATTGGCTTTTCTGATATTGGAAGCAGAAAGAGAACCAAAGACTCTAATGAACATTCTCTCATTTGTTAGTTGCTATTGTGGCTCTTGAGGCTAGATGAGTATGGTTAACTAATTTCACTTACAGGCACAGATCCCACTAACTATGACTTCCATTACACTCACCACCCCAAAAACGTTCATATGAGTCACAATACAAACAAAATCCCTGCTGTTCTACGTAGCCTACTGCAAATGGGAACCAGTGTAGTATTAGTGCCAGTATTAGAGGCAAGTGCACTGGCATGGGCTCTTAAGACTGCAGCCTTAAGCATCAGGTGCTGTTGCATCTTTTGAGGTTACATTTACATTTAGCTGTTTTCCAAAGTGACTTACAAGTGAGTGTTTACAATTGTCTTTACATAGCCTAGGCTTCCGTTAAGTTCATCCTCCTAAACATCACGCCCATCCGGGTCACGGCACCAATAACTGACTATTTTCGGTATGAAAAATTGCAGCTGTGAATGTCAGCAGCTGGTGCACCTCTGAATGCAAGTGGATTAAGGTTTATTTGCACGCATCCACCTAAACTGGTTGTATTTATTGGGCTAAAGGTGGAACCCAACCCTAAACCTTCCCCTCACAGTGATGTTACTTGCTGAGGAAGAGCATGTGTCTGGAGTGCAAGTTTGCAGCCAGACACAATTGTCAAATGTGAGTCTCAAGTATACAGTACATGTTGAGGTCATACCAGGCTCTAGTACAGGGGTGCTCAATTTTGTTCCTTGAGAGCTACCTTCCTCCAGAGTTCAGCTGCAACCTTGATCAAACGCAACTGTCTTTAATTACCAAGTGCTCCTTCAGATCCTACGTATTTGGTTTAGTTGTGTTTGATCAGGGTTGGAGCTAAACCCTGAAGGAAGGTAGATTCGGCACCCCCTCTCTAGTATAACCCCACTGATTTCAGAGTGGGAACCAGCACAAAGCATGGGTACAAGAACAAGAGCACTAAATAGGACAGCTTATAGCGTCTGTTGCATAAAGCAAAAGGAAAGATGCTGTCCTTCACAGGTCCAACTAAGTGTCATCTGTTACACTGCTAAAACCTCACTTCCATCCAGGTCATGGCACCAATGTAACCCTTCCGGTTCATTTCATTATGCTCAAAGCAGGAACCGGCATTAGAGGTGGGTGCACTAACAAGGAGACTAAAGTCTGCAACCTCAGGAAGGAGTTGCTAATGGCTCTCTTGAGGCCTGGATAGTGAGGATGTCTTACACAGCTCTTACCAGCTGACCTCTGTTATACTAGTTCATGCCTCATTTCTTTTTTCTCTATTACTAGCACTTATAAAATAATCAAAACCCATCATTTTTGCCAGTCTCTTGTACATCTTTTTCAATATTCTTTCTCAAAATCCACAAGCAAACCCACAGAAATACACAAACACATTTTTGAGGCCTGTGTCCTCATTCCTACCTTCTCTTCTATTTCCTCACTGTTTTTCTCCATTTCTCAGGAAGGGACTCTGGTCGTGGGAGGACCAGGGAGTTTCTACTGGCAAGGTAACACACTTCTTCTCATTATTTTGTCTTTTCCACTGTTCCATTCTTTTACAGAGTTAGATTGGCAGACAGAGGTCTCGCATAACCCAGACTCACATTCTCAAAGGAGCCCAAGAATCTCTGTTCCGTCCAACAAACTGACCAGGCTGACCCTTCCCCTACCTTCAGAGTAGAATAACAGGCACTCAGACTGATGACATGTCACCTCCCAGGAGCCCCGTTACCAAAATAATCAGGGATTATCTCAGTGTGTTAGCGCTACCATTGCAGAGTCTGTCCAGCCAATCAGAGCTCTGCATTTGGTCTTCAGTGAAGTGCTCTGTCAGAATTGACTTATCACAGATGGGTTAGTGATAGTGTTAATATAGTGTTTGTGATAATAGGAGACAGAAAGTGAGGTCAATAAGCTATTCTTTCTGGTCAGTGGCTTTAGTCTAGGCTTTAGAGACCTTTAAAAGATGTCTATTAACTAAGAGGAAGTTAATGCCTGTCTTTCCACACTTTAAATAGTGGACATAATGCATTCTGCTTAGTTAGCAGTGAAGCACATCTAAAATATTGTAGATATCTGTTTAGCTAAGATAAAGATAATAACAAATCTGCAACCTTTTGACTATTTTGTGACATCAGTATTAATGCTAATTAACAATTCAAGTAATGCATATTAATAAAATCTTTAAGTCTGGAAATTTTATTGCGTGGATTTTTGTAAAAGTCCATACTAATACTGCCTACTAGAAGGCAAATATCTATACAGTTTCTTTATTTTTCCCCCCACACAATTACATTTACTTTTAAATCCTTTAATGTTGATAGACTGTAATAGTAATAGGTAATAATTAATAGGAAGGGACGATATTGATAACAGAAAAACGTAACAAAAGAATCTGCCTCTTAAATGTGCAATCCCAGCAGAGACACGTCCCAAGACTTTTAGGATTTCACACTTAGCTGATAAATAATTATAAAGCTTGTTTGGCATGCTGTCCCGGGAGAGAGCCCAGAGCTCATAAGATCCTCGAGCTTGGGGCTCCCTCCCGTTTGCAAGGTGAGAGGGGAGTTTGAGTTCAGCTAGATCTCGAGAACTCCCATGCTGTAGTAGCTAATGAACAGATAGTAATTGCTCTTAAGAGATAACTATGTACTAGGAGCATGTCTATGTTTCTGATTTGGACTAGTCAATAAACTTAAGTTGAATGTTTTTGGATGGTGGGAGGGAACCGGGGAACCCGGGGGAAACCCATGTGAGCACGGGGAGATTGTGTTAACTCCACACAGAAAGGTCGACTGGCTTGGTAAGGACTAGAAATAGTTACGTTCTTGCTGTTAGGCAACAGTGCTAACCACTGGGCCACCGTGCCACCCATCTAGGAAAGGAGGAGGAGTAGGGGTGGAAGTGGGGTTCTTCAAAATGAAGATGGCTGTTATATGGAACTTAGGGTATTCATAGTGGCTCATGAATCGTCTGATTGGTGAATCATAAATTGAATAATGCAGGAGCGGCTGCAAGCAATCATAAGCATGTGATCCTCTCGAAATAAGTTTATAAATAAACTTCACTTAATAGTTGGTTAAATTTAGGTTGTGTTTTCACTGCGCGACACGTCCAAACAACATTCAAATGACATCTATTACACTGACAGATGCAATATAGACTTGACATGCATGTCCATCAGACGTCTAATGTTTAGTGGGTTGGAAAGTGACCAAGATCCAACATCGAGCCAACATCTTAAAACGACGTCATATTGATGTCAAATACTGACATTTATTTGTCAGGTATGACAACCAAAATCTAACGTCTAATAGACGTCATATTGGTAACGTCCAAATGATGCCAAGCTGTAACATCATTAGACGTTGATATTTTGTTGTTTTCACGTTGCGTTGGAAAGTAACCAAAATGCATTGTTTGTATGATGTTGGACATTGACTTCGGCCGATTTTAATTTCCAAACAAAATGCAACATCCCACGATGTTGGGGTACAACGTCAATCTGATATTGACGTCCTGTGCCTTATGGGATGTGTCTACTATATAACTGTCTAGTATTTTACCAATCATTTTAGCTTTTATCTTGTACAGTGTTGTTTTATAATTAACTAAACTAAATACACAAAATAATATACAATTTTGGATGAAATTTAAAAAGATAATTAATATTAACAAAAAAACATGTATTTTAAAGAATGTATTAAATAATATATTTAAAAACAGAAAATATATAAGAATATAAAAAAGCTGATGCAGACAATTAGTAAATAATAGGCAAAAATATTAGCTATAATTGTGACTCAGTAATACTAAATTTGCTGCTTGTAAAGAAAATGAGAGAAGGCGCTGTTCACCTTTAAAATAAAAATGTGTGGAATCTATGTTTGGCTCTGACTAAATGAGGCACAGCTAAATATTTTGTGGCCGGATGTATATGTGATTGTTTATGTGCTTGAATGTGATCACAATGCCAAATGTTGATTGTTGTGTAATTGCAGTCGTATGTTCAGCCATAAAAACAGACGAGTTCAATCTTCAGACCCCCCCAAAGACTAAACACAGAGTACAGACCTTAATAAATACTAATAATGCTGGGTTCCACATCATGTCTCACATGTGTTATTAGTTTTTTATTGTAATGGAGAGATAGATCACTCGAGAAGACATGAAAATCGTATGTCAGACACAAGGTCTCACTTTCTCATATACTTCATGCTGTGGACAAATAGTGATGCATTAGAAGTTATGACCTGCCACTCGCCTTCTCTCCTCTTTTCCCATGCTCCGTCCATCTTAACCTTTGCCCTCTATCATTTTTTTTGAAGAAGGACAACAGATTTTTGTGAGGAGAAGAAGTACCACATGCCATGTCATTTGTATCTGCAAAACATATGCAAGTTAGAGGCACAGAGCTAAACACACATATTAAAAGAGATTAATGCTTAGGGTTCAGGGCAGGCTGTAGTCACTTGAACTTGAAAAACAAAAACAAAGGAAATGTCTCACTCTTACTCTCTCTTTTGCTTTTTTATCCACCATATCTAAACTTAATCTGTAAGGAGGACTTGTGTCTGCTATTTTCCTCGGTTCTTGTTTAATGGCTTTGTAGATTCTTGCAGAATAATAAATCGGAACATTGTGAAAGCATTACAGGAAGGATTTCTCACTGTTGTGCGTTGATGTCTTTGTCATTCTGCCTGTTCATCCTTGGACCAAATCATAAATTAATAGGTCATTGATTTCCCATGATTTTTTTTCAACATTTAACATGTATCAATCCTATATTATAATGTACATAGTGTGCTTTATTACATAAATTGTCCTTTCCTAAATTATTTTAGGGTCATACTAATTAAGCTTTTGTCATGTGTTTTGTAACAATATGAGGATATTGATAATATGATATGTAACAAAAGTCACCGGCCACACTCACTGGCCACTTTATTAGGTACTGCTTGTTAATGCACATTTCTAATCAGCCAATCACATGACAGCAACTCAATGCATTTAGGTATGGTCAAGATGATCAGCTGCAGTTCAAAGGCATCAGAATGGAGAAGAAAGGTGATTTAAGTGACTTTGAACGTGGCATGGTTGTTGGTGCCAGATGAGCTGAGCTGAGTATTTCAGAAACTGCTGAGGGATTTACAGGGATTTTCATGCACAACCATCTCTAGGGTTTACAGAGAATGGTCAGAAAAAGAAAAAATATCCAGTGAGCGGCAGTTCTGTGGGTGCAAATGCCTTGTTGATGCCAGAGGTCAGAGAAGAATGGCGAGACTGGTTTGAGCTGATACAAAGGCAAATAAACACTCGCTACAACCAAGTTATGCAAAAGAGCATCTCTGAACGTACAACACGTCCAACCTTGAGGCAGATTGGCTACAGCAGCAGAAGACCACACCAGATGCCACTACTGTCATCTAAGAACAGGAAACTGAGGCTAAAACTTGCACAGGCTCACCAAAACTGGCCAATAAAAGATTGGAAAAACATTGCGTGGTCTGATTTCTGCTGCGACATTCAGTTGGTAGGGTTAGAATTTGGCGTCAACAACATGAAAGCATGGATCCATCCTGCCTTGTATAAACGGTTCATGCTGGTGCTGATGGTGTAATGGTGTGGGGGATATTTTCTTGGTACACTTTGGGCCCATTAATACCAATTGAGCATCGTGTCAATACCACATCCTACCTGAGTATTGTTGCTGACCATGTCCATCCCTTTATGTGCACAGTGTACCCAGCTTCTGATGGCTACTTCCAGCAGGATAATGCATCATGTTATAAGCCCAAATCATCTCACTCTGGTTTCTTGAACATGAAAATGAGTTCACTGTATTCAAATGGCCTCCACAGTCACCAGAACTCAATCCAATAGAGCACGTTTAGGATGTGGTGGAACGGGAGATTCGCATCATGGATGTGCAGCTGACAAATCTGCAGCAACTGCGTGATGCCATCTTGTCAAAATGAACCAAAATCTCTGAAGAATATTTCCAGTACCTTGTTGAATCTATGCCATGAAGGATTGAGGCAGTTCTGAAGGCTTGTTACACTGCATAAATATATTTTCGTTGAAAGGTATTTCGTGAAATAATATGTTACTATTACTGACATAAAAGGACAATGGTTTTATGTATATAATTAAAAACATTTCATAATTTAGTTGTTGCAATTTAGGCTTTACTTTATTGCAATTATCCTGTCACTGTGTGGTTAACAACTCAATGAAGAACACCTGTTTCCAGCTGTCAATCTTTAATGAACAAAAAACACTCTGGATCACCACAGGCAAGGAACAGAACAGAAAACCACACAAGATGTAACAAGAAAAAACAAACACAAATGAGGGCTGTGTATACCGAAAGCAAAAAAAGAGAACTAAACAAAACACAGGTGAAACTCAAAAGGATCCTATGGCAACAATAAAGGGCATAATTAGCCATTAGAACAACTAATAACACAAATGAGTAACAACATCTGCCACCACAACTGTCAATGATACACATCTCACTGAAACACAATCTGTATTTTTTTGTTTTTGTGTGTATAGGCCAAGTGATAACAGCCGGAGTTGCCGAGATATTAAACGGCTATTCTCTGAAAACAATCCTGCGTAAAGTTCAAGGAGAAAAGCAGACGGTGGCAGCATCAGACACGTACGATGACAGTTACCTTGGTAAGAGACTTGTGTTTGTGTTTCAAAGGTAAAGATGCTTTATAGGACACCAGCGATTTGCTTGGGGCTGTGTTTATGGGTCAGGAGAACCACCCCTCAGTCAGTTTAAAAAACACTCGATCATACGAACACACACAAGTATGTTGAGGTAACCTTGACCCTCTGTCTCATAGCTCAGTTTGGTGCTGAGTCTGTGCCTACTGATAACATTACCATCTGGAACTGCAGACCTCAAAACACTCGTAGACCCTCACACAAGTATTTGTTAAATACACATTTTGAAATCCTATGAGCGTTTTCCATCATTAGCGGTGAGTAATTTTCATTGCAGCTGGACTGCCATGGTAATGGTGATATAAATAATAAAATTATGAGATAAAAAGTCAATTTGAGTATGCATAATTTCATATCCTACAGTTTGATTAAACGGATCAAACGTTCCACTAGCTGTCTGTTTTTTCTTTTCTTCTTTCTTATGTTCTTTTTCTTTGTCTCCTAGGATATTCTGTAGCGGTTGGAGAGTTCACAGGGGATTCGGAACAAGGTGAGAACTCTAAAATGATTTATATGTAGGAATGCAGGGCAATTTATTACATGTTTTGTCATTATTTACTCACATTTTGGATTTGTGCATAAAAAAGCTCAAAGGTTGATAGAAATGGCAGCAGCATACATTTTGAAAATGCGTATAAAAAGAAACACTTTTACCAAACAAATTCCAGTATGTGCAAGAAGGTCATGTGATTTTGTTTTGAGAGATCATGTGATGACTTAGCACATTGTTAAACATCTGAAATGTTGTTTTGGTCATTATAAAATGCCTTGACCATTTGAATATTAGTGTTAATATATTATTAATTACCTCCAGAATTGTCAAGAGCATCTTTGCTCCGCGTCACATGCCTTCAAACACCACCATGTGTTCATTGTGTGTCGGCATTGCCTTCTGAGACTCAAACCATTTATAAAATGAGGATGAAGTTTGAAGAGCGGGGTTTGAAGGGCGAGAGGGGAGTTTGAGCTCAGGTAGGTCTCGAGAACTCCCCTGCTTGTGAACGTGTTAGGAATAGCTGAGAGATATAGCTGGCTAATAGTTTGCCTTATGATGCCACTTTGGATTATTTAATTTTCTTATAATTTACGTCTTTGGACGGTGGGAGGAAACTGGGGAACCTGGGGAAAATCCCCTGCTAGCATGAGGAGAACATGCAAACTCCTCACAGAAATGCAGACTTGTGCGGTAAAGGCTCAAACCAGTGGCGTTCTTGCCATGAGGCAACAGTGCTAACCACTGGGCTGCCATGCTGTTCTATCAGGAAAAGGGGAGGAGTATGGGTGGAAGACGAAAGGACTGAAGTGGAAAACTGGTTATTTATAGTGAGTTAGTATTCATCTGATTGGCGTGAAGCTGATGCGGGACCAGTCGTGATCAATCATAATCAACGTGATCCTCTCAAAATTATTTTATAAATAAACTGCACAAAGATTTACAAAAATTTTATTTATTTATTTTTTTTTTAATATTTGATGCCAGTTAATCAGGAAGTGACGATTTTGTTCTCTTTGACTCGTTGGATGGAAACATTGCTTTATTTGCATGTCTTAATGCGATATTCCAACACAATCTCTCGACAATTCATAACTTTTTGATTTAGTGGCTAATTCATATGAATTTGTATGATCTAATTAGTATTTTCTCATCACCCAATGACGGTTAGGTATAGGGGTGGGGTTGGGTGCCACGCCTCCTTTTTAAAATTGTACATTTTGGTACGACTCAATTAGTACGAATTCGTGCGAATTAGCCACTAAACTGACAAAACGTAAAATACTTACGTTTCCTCATGAGATCAGGCTAGATATTCAAGTTTTGCGCATAAATTTAATTTGCATCTTTAGATGGAAACATAGCTACTGTCACAACTAGTTGAAACTTAATAAGGAAAAGATACCTTCTATCAAGCCACATCTTGTTAAGAGGATATCGTGTTACTTTCTTATATGGAATATAAAAAATATATTTTGAAAATATGGATTTGTAATTGTTGATAGAGTTAATGTAAGTGGGCTCCGATGCTGCTTTAGATCTTGAGTTTGTGTATGAATGTAAGTCTATGAGAGAGAGCTCTGTCTCTGTGTGTGGTTGTTGTGTGGATTTGTTGCTTGCTGAGCTTTGATCGGACCCTTCAACCTCAGACCATAATTACAGAGTTCTCACAGGATTGTGTCCCTGACATGCCACCCAGTGACAAACAGCCTGTCTGCAGTCTGTCGGCCCTCTCAGATGCATACACATGTGTGGACCCACATCCACTCGTAAGCAATCATTAGAATACCTATACATTAGACCGACCCATCCTTCAAAAGTAAAACCTTATTAATCCTATTTATTAACTGCCTGAAACGCTTAAAAAGATTCTTAAATCTGGTGTAAAGTCATCTTATGCTGGCACATTGCAGATTGTCAAAAGTAAGTTATTTTAGAGGTCCAGTGAAGTGCTTTTAAATGTGCATTTTTTATTTAATGTTTGACGCAGTTTTAACTAAAATCGGTTTGTTTTTATCACAGCTCTGCCAGTGAGAGTGGTTAAGATCAAGCATCAAATGAAAAACAAATGGGAAGCTTCTTGAAGGGGACATGCATGTCAGATACTAGAGAGCTTTTGATAGGTCAAGATTTGTTGAGAAACTAAAGTAATAAGGTCACGTGAAAAAAAAAAATGTTTTTGATCCGTTTAGGTGGAGGTGACAAACTGCAAGCTTTGGATGTTTATAATCGTTTAATATATTCTAAACATGAATTTGTAACTGTTTTGTAGCACACTAGTTTATAGACAGACTTAAAACTAACATACTGATACTAACATCTAAAAACCCTATTTTAATTTCACTGGACCTTTAAGGAGATGTTATATGCATCTTTTTTTTACAGTGCATGAATATACGCTGTTAAAGTTATGGTTAAAATATGACCTTCATTATATGTATACATTAATCAATTGACAAAAATTAATTGTAAACATACTTTGAAAGTGTTTATATTATCCATTCATGCATTTCCCATTCATGCTTAGTCATTTTATTCATAAGGGGTCGCCACAGCGAAATGAACCGCTAACTTATCCAGCATATGTTTTACAAAGCGGATGCACTTCCAGCTGCAACCCAGTACTAGGAAACACTCATACACATTCATTGACACACACATATACCACAGTTAATTTAGTTCATTCAATTCACCTGTACCGCATGTCTTTAGACTGTGGGAGAAACTGGAGCACCCGGAGGAAACCCACATGAACACGGGGGGAACATGCAAATTCCACACAGAAATGCCAACTGATCCAGCTGGGACTCGAACCAGCGACCTTCTTGCTGTGAGGCAAAAGGCTAACCACTGAGCCGCCGTGTTGCTGATGTTTATGATATTATGGGAGTGTAATGCTGGGTCTGTATATTTTACAACTCATAACCAGGTATTTTAATGATACAATGTTATTGAACTGTCTTATATACAAAGACAGATCACCATCAGGATAAATAATAAATTATTTATTACTTTTCTGAACAGTGACGTTTGATTGTCAGAGCTTTTTTGCACACTATATAGAACTATATAATGGATTTTTTGTTGTTGTTGTTATTTTGGATAAAATATTAACAATGTGTGGCAAAAATAAATCAGAATACATGAATTGCATAAATAATTAATCCATGGTAGTCTATTCAAAATGGTGCAACTAGAGGAAAGTTTAGCAGTTTGCTTTAGATTATTTTACGTTTATATGATTTATATTTGCTTAATTTGATATTTATATTTACTTGACACATTTTCAATGTAAGACATTTAAGCATCCACTTCATGTTTGGTATCTGTAAAGACTAAAGCTCTGCCTTCTATGATTTGATTGACCATTTTAATCAATTTAAACCACAAAGACAAATCGGCGTAAAAATTTAACGTTTTATCATACTATTAGCAGACAAACCATCCATATTAAATATTCTGTGAAATATAGGTCAATTTGGGATGGCACAGGGTTGGCTCAGTGGTTAGCACTGTTTCCTCACAGCAACAAGGTCACTGGTTCGAGTCCCGGCTGGGCCATTTAGCATTTCTGTGTAGAGTTTGCATGTTCTCCCCCATGTTCCTGTGGGTTTCCTCCGGGTGTTCCAGTATCCCCCACAGTCCAAAGACATGCGCTATAGGTGAATTGAAAAAACTAAATAGTCCGTAGTTTATGAGTGTTTGTAAATGAGTGTTTATGGATTTTTCCCAATACTGGGTTGTGAATGGAAGGGCATCCGCTATGTAAAACATATACTGGAATAGTTGGTGGTTTATTCCACTGTGGCGACTTCTGAAATAGAAACTAAGCAGAAGGAAAATGAATCAATAAAAAAAGTCAATTTCTAATTGATAGCATAGTTACAGTCAAAACTGCCCACTCAAAACTGAGCAGCAAGAAGGAGAAGTGCAACAAAATGATGTCCGACAGCATTTCGAGGTGGATTAAATCTTCTGTTAATTGATTCGCACCATTCCTTTGGTGAATCACATGCTAAAACAGCTCAGACAGCATGCACAAATAAACAACACTATCAGCAAAGTCTTTTCTCCACACTTCCCTTATACATATGTTCTCTCTGGTCTGGATTAGTGGCCAATCCAGCGAGAAGAGACATGCTGCTCTCTTTTTGTCAGACTTTCTTAAATGGCTTCTTGCTGTGGGATATTTTGTGGTCACAGAAGGCGGGAAATTTGAGGTTGTGGGGGGAAGGGTTGAGGACGAACAGGCTCCTTGGAAGTCTGGGAGATTTCAAGTTCGAAACGAGTCAACCATCCCTCTCTCCAATCTCAGTGTGTGGGACAGATCTGACAGACAGCCGCAAACCCCCCCACCACATCACTATCTCCACCATCATCCATCAGTGTCTGTCTCCTTCACTATGACTCTTTCCCTCTCTCTCTTCTAAATATTTATAACTAATGAGTGACTGGCGTGCTGTTGACAGAGACGAGATTTACAGCACTCACAGGTCTCACCTCACTGTTTACCCTGAGATGCACTTGATAAGTGGTTGGAAAAGTGTGTTTTATTATTGTTCCTTGTTGAAGCACATCATTTGTTTTTTTAGACTCTGCTACTTTAAAACATATAAACCTGCTGATATGTTTGTGTACTGTATGACTTTCTCATGTTGTCTATGCAGAATTGGTAGCAGGGGTTCCTCGAGGGGCACACAACTTTGGTTATGTAAGTATACAGACTTTGTTTCCTGTGTTTTTGTTGTGCTAAGATCAGGATTTAAAGGTCAGAGGTAAAGGTCAAAAGGAAGGAAGAACGTAAGAAATGTTTGAGAGGTTAAACACTGCTTTTGTACTAAAATTGGCACAAACATGAAAATAGTGTTACAAATTACACAACCCAAATGGTAAAAAAGGTATATACTATTGTTCCTTTTTTGACCACAAAAGGAGATGGCTAGTAGCTAGCATTTGGTTTAAAAAAATAAATGTAAAAGTGTTATAGAATGATCCAATGTGCTGTTTGTTGTGTATTCTAAGAATATCGAAAGAGCAAAACACTACATATGGAAAATACAGAACATGTAAACAGCAGGAATGGAAATAAAAGGAATGTGTAAAAACAATTAATTAGAATAATATTGGTAGTATTTAAATAGCATTTAACATCTTAATAACAATTATAATGATAATAATAAAGTTGGTGATGATAAAAGTGATATTTTGTAATGACAGCAACATTGATATCAATAATAATAATAATAATAATAATAATAATAATAATAATAATTAATAGGGATGTACAATAAATCTACGACATATATAAATATTGTCACAATCACCAGCGATCTAATCCATGTAGATCACTGGTAAACATGCATTCATTCATTCATTCATTCATTTTTCTGTCGGCTTAGTCCCTTTATTAATCCGGGGTCGCCACAGCAGAATGAACCGCCAACTTATCCTGTAAGTTTTTACGCAGCGGATGCCCTTCCAGCCACAACCCATCTCTGGGAAACATCCACACAAACATTTACACACACTCATACACTACGGACAATTTAGCCTACCCAATTTACCTGTACATCATGTCTTTGGACTGTGGGGGAAACCGGAGCACCCGGAGGAAACCCACGCGAACGCAGGGAGAACATGCAAACTCCACACAGAAACGCCAACTAAGCCGAGGCTTAGTTGTGTATGAACTACTACATCCGTAGTGTATGAGTGTGTGTGTGTGTGGATGTTTCCCAGAGATGGGTTGCTGCTGGAAGGGCATCCGCTGCGTAAAACTTGCTGGATAAGTTGGCGGTTCATTCCGCTGTGGCAACCCCGGATTAATAAAGGGACTAAGCCTACAAGAAAATGAATGAATGAATATTTGTTTACAGTAGATGCAAGAAATGCACTGTTTGAAATATTATTCACATGTTATTTTTTAAGTTATTTTCTTCTTTTAATATGAAAAACATTCAAAATAATTGATTTTGTTTGCAAAAGTGCAAGTTATTTATTTTCACTTATTTATAAGAAAAAAGTTGTTTTTTAGGCAATGTGTGTTTTAATTTCAGTTGTTCAACGCTGATGTTCAATAAATAATCATAGATCGTAGATAGTGTGTGTTTAAAATCATGTAATGCACCCTTCATTCAAAAATCTCACACTTGTAATATGTGAGCATATTTACTGTACAAAATCTGTCAGGGAAATATGAAGACAAAAACATAAATAACATAAAATTAAAGAGTTAAAATGTTCAATTAATCGAGAATTTAATTTTAGGCCAAATCACCCAGCCCTAACAATAGTTAATAATGAAAAAAAAATTATACATATCCAATGCATTCCCCATCTATCCTAGGTTCTGTATCAGTGATCATGTTTGTTTGTTTGTTTGTTTTGTAATTTTTTTCACTGGTTTGGCGGAAATTTAGATCTTGGCCATTTTTGTGCACATGCCATTTATATGAACGAGTGTAGGGAATACATTTTTAATGATTTTTTTTTTGTTTTGAGGTCAGAAAATGAAAGAAGAGCAAGAACAACACCAGGGTGACTAAATGATGATATAACTCTTTAAACTTTTATTTATACAAACAAACCAAGAATAGCTGTGTTTTCTTCGCAAGGACAAGTATTCTGGTAACAGTAAATCCTCTAAGTTACTTGTTTAAGTGTATGTGAGTTTCTCATCTGGATGTGATTTGAAGCCTTAAAAAGGAATTCCCAATTAGGGCTGCAGCATCTAGGACGCAGGGGTGTCCCCTTTGGCCCTCAATTAAATAGAATCATATTCAGCTGGATGGGTGGTTGGTGAAACAGACAGTGAATTTGGGTTCTTTTTTTGTTTCCAAGGCATGTTATGTTCTTGGGTATTTGCCATATGTGGCTTTGTTTGATTTAGGATCTCAGTCATACGTGCCCCATAAAACATCCACTACGATCAGTCTGGATGTAATTATTAGAGTGCTAAATGTCTAACATGCGGAAAATCACTTGGTTTGCTGCGTAGGACAGGCATGTGGTCAGATACAAAAGTCCTGGAGTACATCAGGAAATATTCCAGAATCATGACAGTCTGTCATGAATGCAAATCTTATGAGTAATAATTTAATCAGGCTGATTTTTCTTATTTTTTCTTTTTCTTTAGGTGACAGTGATCAATGCAACAAACCTGACGTTCATTCAGAACTTTACTGGAGAGCAGGTGATTAACCGTCTACATGACTGTACTGTATGTACAGATAGAGTTTGGTAGTTAGTATTACTAAATTTTACAGAGATCACTTTCATTATAGGTGTATCAAAATAAACTACAAAATACAGCAGCCACAAATGTAGCAAAATAAAATACTGTATTTTTGTATTTTAAAAATACTACAAAATACTTTTGCAAGCAAGCTTGAACCTCCTTTGCATATATTCCATGAATAGGCCTGTTTGATCAACCACTTTACTGTTAAACGTGAAGTAAACCATATTTGATTGCATCAACTTTTCTCTGAGCAAGTTTTAGCAGATTCTCTACCACCTCATTCAACTCTACTCTTACTGTACATGAATATAAATCTATACTTTTTTTACTTGTTTCTTCTTTATTCATTTAGTATATTTTTGTACAAATTTCAGTAACACTTTATGTTGATGGTCCATTTGAGTATTAGTAGACTGTCTGCTTAATCTCTGTTGATACTGCTCCCTCAACTGACATCTAACTGACTATAAGAAACTTTGCAAGTACATAAACTTACAGTAACCCTAACCCCAACCTAAAAGTCTACTTATAATAATGAGAATTATTTGGCATGTAGATGCAATGCAACTTAAATTCAACAAACGGACCATCAAAATATAGTGTGACCCAAATTTCATACAGAAAGCCCTGTTCAATGCAGATAATGAGCTAATAAATAATATAGTACTGTTGATTATGTTTCCATCCATTGTGTAGCCAGTAAAATTGACATAATCTCTGTATAATAATTATTCAACCTCTTAACATTTTTATATTTTAAAAGGGTGATATATGAAGTGTTTAATTTGATATACATATTTTAAATACATGTATCATAAATACTGCTCATCCCTACCAGTAATAATGTACAAATTGCAGGCAATACTGTAGAAAATGCAAGTAAAAGTGTCAAATTTACAAGCACACTTTTAAAAATGATTACAGTTGTGCTGTAAAACTAGAGAACAATTGTAATTGTTAATTTACTGTGCACTTGTTAATTTGTAATATTAATAATAAAATCCCAGTAATACTGTACATTTTACAGATTTTTTTATGCAAAAAGACTATTACTGTTATTTACCATTGTTAGTTTAGGATAATTTTTGAGAAGATACTGAATAATGGATCATTTTAACATGTGGGTGACCTATCTCTTTATTTGTAAGGGGTAAAAAGAGGTAATTGTTAGTACGTTAAACATAAAGCATGAACTAAATGCAATTTGCATTCTGCAATCTCTAGTCTTGTGGGTTAGTTTTATGTTAACTAAACTAAACTGAATGCACTACAGAATCATTTTAATCTTTATTTAATTGTCTAATTTACTGTTTCCTTGATCAGCAGAACTTATTATTTTACAACATTTTGACCTTTGATCCCATTTCTCTATTTTGGTGCACATTTCTGATTCAGCTGATTTCATGAATAATTGTTTCTCATAGATGGCCTCTTACTTTGGATACACCATTGCAGTGACTGATCTAAATGGAGATGGGTAAGTCTGTATGTCTTCATATGTACAAGTAGTGATGCTACTAGATTAACTACATTTCTCAGTAGTGTGGCGGTAGCATCGCTACTTTCTAAATCAAATAGCCTTTCAGTAGCAAAGCTATTATTTCAAGCAAGTAGCGCAGTTGCATCCACACAAGCTGCATTTACCGATCGCGGATCAGTAAGTGACAGCATCGACATTCACAGAGCAGTGAGGCCGGTGTCTAGCCGTTGAAAGTAAATCCATGTGATAGCGAGAAGGACGATTTCCTCTTCTTCCTGTTTTACGGTGGTCCACAACAAACTTTTTGGTGCGTTACAGCCACCTCTCGCTCTGGTCGGTGACATCGCCAACCACTTAACGAGAAATTATGGAAAAGAGAAATGATGGAAAGATGACTGTGGGAGAGCAGTTATTTCTGAAGCAGGATTCCTTTTGATCAGACCTTGAGATGTACATGTTAAGATGCAATAATGTTAAATCTGACGATGTGCTCAAAAATACTTTAGTGATTTATAGTAGCACTGTAATGTTTTTGAACTGCACATTAGAGAATTACTCAAATTAATTAGTTTGTTATATATATATACATATAGATACATATATATATATATATATATATATATATATATATATATATATATATATATATATATATATATATATATAAAGGCTAAATTATGTAGTGTAATTCATTAATGAAGAGTTGTAAATATTTACTATAAATTTTATTAGATTTTTTTGGTTTTGCTGTTATATACTAATAAAATACTATAATAAAATAAAATACTATAATTCAGTTTAGTAACACTTATGCCTCATGTTTCATTGACAGTTTTATTGATCACTAAGACATGATTGACTTGGATTTAAGTTGCTTCAATTTAAAAATGAAAATTGTAAAAATAGCTTAGCTACGCTACTTTTGCCAGGTATCTTTTAGCTTAGCTTTCTACATTTCCCAGAGGGTAGCTTTTAGTGTAGTTAAGCTACATTTAACTACACTAAATGTAGAGTAGCTAATAACTTAGCTCGCTACATTTTTCAAGTAGCTTGCCCACCACTATGTTAGAGGTGGAACTAGTAGGAGTACAGGCCATCTGCATGATACATCCTTTCTTATGAAATCTGTGTTTTATCTGCATATGAGATGATTCAAAATTGCTCATTCCATAGGTATTTACTGTATGCACATGGTATTTATGTGTCCCTCACGGTCTGTCTGCACTCAAAGAAGGCTTTCTTATCTGCCAGCATTATTTGTTTTGAACTAATTCAATTTACCTGCCCGTGCTGTATTTAGTTACATGCAGAGCTATTTGGAACCATATAAACCATATGAATAGGACCATCAGGTTTTATATAGAGTTTGGCTTTTGTTTAGACTCTTGCAATACGCTCTGGTTTACTTGACCCTTATTTAAATGCCTGCATTGTCCAGGAGGGAAATTTGATATGTAAAATTTGTTTCTAATTTAGTCTTATGAGGATACAAAATCTTGCTTACACAACTACAGCGCCAAAGCTCCTTGTGTCTGTCTGAAATGCTAACATGTGTTTATGCCATTAACCAAAAAAAGCTTTCTTACCAACGGTACATATTTGAATACAGTTAATCACTAGTGTATGCATGAAAAGAAAAGTTAAATGATAAAACAGCAACGTTCAACACAGTGAGAGCGAATTACAGCTCATTACACTTACAGTATAGCTATTGAAATGGCTCATTTGTTGGAAACTGCGCCAATCAGTCTTTGGTGTTGAAGTCAATGTATCATTTCTGTTATTTCGGCTACCAAATGCTGAAGTGCATAAATCACCGGGATATGTTTTTAGATATCAAATAGCACAACTTGGTTGTGTCTGTTATCTTAGATCTGAGAAGTACGAATACAGAATTTTATACAATGCTTCATTCCAATTTATTATGGAACGTCGCCACCATCTCTGTTAGTTTTAGACCCGCTTATTCTCAGAATGCCCTGTTCTGAACTGCAGGAACCTTTTGGTATTCCTCCATCGGTCCTCAAGAGGTCCAAAACACACTTCTAAAGACATATCTCCAAGCAATATGTCTCTGTTTTCGATTTTCAGCATTTATAAGATTTATGCTTTATCCCCCGGCATGATACTGTCATGTGCTGGCTCGTCTCCGTCTGCTCTGATGGCTTGTATTTTACAATGGTTCAGTTGTGCACTTGTATATATTGCTGTCTTGGAGCCTCAAGGGTGAAGTCAAGTGTGATACTTTGACTTCAGACATTCACTATAAAGCTACAAGTCTTGTTCAGTTGCTAACCATTCATTCGGTTTCCAAGACAAGCATTTTTATTACAACTACATGCACAATAAGTATGAAATTTATAGAACGATTTATAAATGCAGAAATTTTTCTGAAATAATAGTGCAGCAGTGTTTTACTAGGTAACAACACAGGCTTATTGGAAATTCGTGCCTATTGCTATATTTTTGAGAACTTAAAAAAAATATGCACCACAGACTACGATTTCTTGCAGTTTTTTGTTTTCACAAAATCACTATGTTTTATGTGAAGTTTTGACAATCTCTAATGTGTTATTGTGGCACATTTTCTTTCTGTCATTTCTCATAAATCTACCAGAGGCCACTGTGTACAGTTCTGTGAATGTTGACGTCTTTCTCATACGCATCCGTGAGAGAAGCCAGTCAGCTTGTGCATTATAAATCAGCTTGATATCGATTGACCCCATACACCTCTTCACTAAATCCAACCAATAGTGTTTTCAAAAGCAAACTACAAGAGGAAAGCCATCTTTTTGGGTTTTGTTTTATTATTATTGAGTTTGTGGAGCCATTATTTATTGGAATTGATCCTAGGTCTGCTCCACTTTCACCTCATAAGTCTGCTGCTGCACATAGCGAGCAACAGAGTAAACCAGTCTCGCTGTAAAAGCCGGCAATACGGAGGTAATCGGTCAGCAGTGCCGCCCCGTAGCTTTGGATTTTACACACAAAATGCAGCAATAAGTACCCGTCCGAGAGCACACACCAGGGTATGTTTTCCCAATGAGCTTATGTTACAACATAACCTCGACACTTCAACAAAAAGATTATAATTTGTGGGGAAAAAAAACTGTTATTAAAATTATAAAACCACAATGATCACGGCATGAAGAAAGATCACAACTAATTTTAGCAGTGTTAAATGAGCAGGAAGTGAACAGGCTTTCACAAAGCTTTCAACTGAATGACTTCAGCACATCTGTAGTTTCTTAGCCATATCTGTCACCAAGGATTTTCCAGAGATTTTCTTTCAGGTTTGGATTGCATGTTGGCAAAGAAGCTTTTGTTAAACATTTGCATTCACTGTGCCATGTAGTTGTATAAGAGGCCCAAATTCTATCGCAAAAACATTAGCCAAACCAAAACACATCCTCTTTCACTGACGTCTTTACACACCTTAGGTTCAGTCTTTCTCTAGTTTCATGGCAAACATTTTTTTTTTTTTTTGCCATTGAACCCAATAAATTCAACTTGCTTTCATAACTAAAGTAAACTTTGGTCCAGTTCTCTGTCAACACACAACACGCTTCTCAACAAAAGTCAGTCTAGCCTTTTTTTTCTGTTGGTAACAGGTTTGGTAACTGAAGAGCAAGCATTCAGTTCAAATTATTTTAAATATCAAGACACTTTGTGATTAAGTGGCCATTTACATATTGGATTTAAAACCATATGTGAAAATGCAAGGCATGCCACTTCCTCTATTAATTTTACAACGCATGAACCCACCACAGAAAAACCAATGATGTAGCTCTGTTTTATTTAAGGTGAAAACAAAGACAACCCATGTTTGAGTCTGAGGTAATTAGTATACTAATAATACTGAAATGTGAATAGTACAGGGGTGGGCAAACTCTGTCCTGCATAGTTTAGCTGCAACACTAATCAAACACACCTGAACATGCTAATGGGGTATATGCCGAAGCATGCTAATAGGACTTTTAATTTGCCAACCTGGGTTAAGCGCTTCCGGCGAATTGAATGCCAATGCAAAATGCGGTTAGTTTAAGGTCTGTTTTCTTTAAAAATCAGCGATCATCACTAGCTGAGTAATATCCGATTTAAAGTGGGTTTCAGATTGTACAAGAAGCACTGCATTAAATTACATTTCCCCCGCCACATCTTTATAATATAAGCATTTATTTGACCCCAGTATATTCAATAGAGCTTCTGCGTTAGCCTGCCGATTCTGACTGGCGCGTGCGAGTAAACAGCTTTTTGTCTCGTTTTACGCTTGAGCAACCAAATAAATGCTAAAGTTTATTTAACTGAATGTATTTTAATGACATTACAACATCGATGCTGTATAAGGAACCGTATAAAATGGAAAAAAGTTCACAATAACAGGTCACCGGAAGTGTATCAGCATGGGAACAGCACTAGCTCGGCATATACCCTATCAGTGTCTTCAGGATCACTAGAAATCTATAAGCAGGTGTGTGTGATTAGAGTTGGAGCTAAACTGTGCAGCACACTGGCCCTCCAGGACTGAGTTTGCCCACCCCTGGTGTAGTACATACAATAGTTGAAGCTGAGAACTTAAGCATGCATGCAAAAGATGCAATATGTAAACAATCCCTCACTCTGAAAAAGATTTGATTTTCTAGAATTTGTCATGCCCAACCTATATTGCTATTGCTGAAAGGATCATCCCTTTATCCTTCATCTGACATCCTGACAATTGAAATGGATTGGTCAGAATATTGAGGAAATTTCTATTTGGTACCAAGTAAACACCAATAATTATGGGTCTTATGGGACACTAAAATGTATTGTATCATAAAAAATGGATTTGTATCATGTTTGTGATTTTATGTGCTTACTCAGGTTAGACGACGTGCTAGTTGGAGCTCCACTCTATATGGACCGCGAGTTTGAGAGTAAGCCTCGAGAGGTGGGCCGGGTTTATTTATATCTGCAAGAAGATGTGCTTCTCTTCTCTCCTCCCATCACACTCACTGGAATGCACCTGTTTGGCCGCTATGGAAGTGCCATTGCTCCTCTTGGAGATATCAACCAGGATGGCTATCTTGGTAAGTAATTATTTTATTGCATGTTTTGGCTGTTGTTTTGCATGTATTGTGGGTTTTTTCTAATGTCGGTAAGGCAGAAGTTAAATTCACACCCATTTCCTACTTGCTTTTTTGTGTAGGAAATCCTGCTTCTCTGTCACATACATAGAAGTTTCAGTTCTTAGGCAGTCAGGAAGGGTAAAATTAGTGATTTGTTGCCCTTGTCTGCATGTTCCTGTGAAGAGTTGGGTGTTAACCGCTGATTTGTTGAGACTTCAAATTGAGGTCACTTGGTAAATATTCCTGTTGCTAGTCAAACCAGTATTATTGCAAAAATAATAACTATAAAAATATTATTATTATTATATAAAATCTATTAATATTTAAATACCTAAAATATAATCAAATCATACATAAATACTTATAACTGTTTATAAGTAACTGTTATAACTGAAGATTACTTCTGGTATTTCTACCGAACTACAACTCCCAGAACTCTTTGCAGTCATCAACTCCTGTCGAAGCTGACAATAATTCGGACACACACACACACACACACACACACACGCACGCACGCACACACACACACACACACACACACACACACACACACACACACACAGCTGAAACTCATCTTCACTGATTACATCTACTATATATACCACTCACTTTCACAGACACTTTGCTGAGTCTTGTTTACTTGCTAACATTACAAAGCGGTTTTCCTTTTTCTAGTCGTCTGGTGTTTTTTTGAGCTTTAGCTTGTTTACCGTTTTTTTTATTCTTTGCCGCCTAGCTTGACCTTTCGCTAGTGGTGGGCGGAGCGACGCTTCATGAAACACTGAAACAGTCGAATCAAATGTGTCGAAGTTTTGAAACGTTTCGAAATCCCACTATACAGTGACACCTAGTGGTCGTGTATTACTCAAACAGATTCAGCTAAGAAACAGTTACACAAATTGAGGAATTATATCCGACGTTGTAGAATTGATATTTCAAGTGATTTAGTGGAGCATTTAGAGTTCCTGACTAAATACTGGGTTCAAATCACAGCTAAAGACATTTGTTTTTAAACGATCTGTTCTTGTAATGTTTTGTTTTATCATTGGTCTGACATCCCAAATAAACACTTTGTGTATAAATATGTCCTGTTTTAATCATAAAAAATTTACATTATTAGATCACATCAAGTGACAATTTCATGAAATAAAGAGTTTTCCCAGCCCTGTCAATACAACACAGATTCTCGAGGTCTCGAAAGGTAAAGTCTAGATACAGCTGGATACAGCTGCAGATACGCACATCAATATAGCATAATTTTTGTAACACTGTATAACGATATTTAATATTTTTATAGTACTGTGACTGTTGGGTTTAGGGTTGGGGTGGGGATAGGCGTTAACAAAATACATTTAATTAGGTAATTTAACAAATAACATAGATAATATTCAGTATAACTTCTGTTTTTACATTTCTGTAACAATTGGGTTTAGGGTTGAGGTAGGGGTAGATGTTAATAAAATACAATAAATGGGAAATTTTGTAAATAATAGAAATCATTCTTAGTAACTTCTGGCCTCAACCATATCTGATCTAGCAACTACCATCTCGAAGTGCTTCTGAAATGTTAGATGCTTTGAAACGCTTTAGTCACAGGACCTGGGTGCTTCGAATAATTTTAGTCATGTGACCTGGTGTTTTGGATCATACTTTGGTGCAGTGTTTCTTAACACTTGCGCTTCGGAATCTCGACATTTTGTTGAATCGCCAGTTTTGCATCAGCCATCCTTACCTTTCGCCTGTTTTTGACCTTGCTTTGTTAACTATTTTATGCTCCTGTTTGTGACCATTGCCTGCACGACTTTCTTGGTAATAAACTGCAAATAACTATTGTTTTACAATGCTTCATGCAAAAATTATTACATTTCTATGTAATATAATATAATATAATATAATATAATATAATATAATATAATATAATATAATATAATATAATATAATATAATATAATATAATATAATATGAAACAAAATAATTATAAATATGAGTATTATTAATATTCTTTTATGCAAATGGTATGTGCAAAATGGTTTAAAAAACTTACCAGGTTTTGTGTTTTTATATAATATATATTTCAAATAATATGTGATCATTTTTATCTTGCACCAATACATTTAATTATAAATAGTCTTGCTGCTAGGCTGTTTGTTTATTTTTTAGAGTCTGCTTGACAAACTGGGAAAAGAATAATTAGATTTGCCTCTCAGTTTTTTTTTACAAATCTCATGACCAATCATGGCAGCATTTCTCTGTTTATTATGATTTTTTCTCAAGAGCTCATCCTGTATCTAAAAGAAAACAGGTGTTCATGGGTGGAGTTCAGACCATACTAATCACCCGCATATCATCTCCATCACTGCAGGCAGATTAGGATGGTTAGAAACTGAGAGTTGCTGTTGTACAGATCTGTGTGTGTGTGTGTGTGTGTGTGTGTGTGTGTGTGTGTGTGTGTGTGTGTGTGTGTGTGTGTGTGTGTGTGTGTGTGTGTGTGTGTGTGTGTGTGTGTGTGTGTGTGTGTGTGTGTGTGTGTGTGTGTGTGAGCGTGAGCGTGAGCGTGTGCGTGTGTGTATGTGTATATGTGTGTGTGTGCAGGCGTGCATATGTGTAATTTATAAATCAGCTCCATATGTTTTTGCAACATGATCTGATCAGTCACTGTAATTTTAAATTGGCACTGATTTGGATGAAAGTTAGATGAGAATATGATATCCATACATAAGTCATAACCCACCTGATCCTCTGATTTACAGAAATATGTTGTAATATAAGATTTTACAACTTGTACAAAATGCCTGTGTGCTTAAGTATTCTATATTTATAATATCTGTGTGTTTCAAGTAAGAACTATATGGGAACGATACTCACTTTGATTTACTGTATACTTGGTGGATTATTTCTGGGTCTGTGTTCCCTTTTTATGGCTTTAAAGAAGTATCACATTATGAGACGATGCTGTTAAAGTGTTTTGAAGAATTATGGTTTAATCAATATGCGATATAGTCATAATGAATCTGATATCAGATGCTGTATCTCTGTTACACTGGCCATATGGCAGCACTAATGTGAGGAAAGGACTCTTGTCACATGTGGGTGATTTATTTCTATTACATGAATTATCCTATCGTGTAATTAGCTGTACAGCTAAATTAAATGGGTTTCTTTGCTGTGAGTTTGGTTTGTACAGTTTTGTCATTCCAGTGACAAACACTCACAAACTGTCCATTTTATTAGGTACATCTTGCAGGAAGTGATTTGGACTAGGGCGGCACAATATTGGAAAAATGTGATATTGCGATATTTTATTTTTCTGTGATAAATATAACGATATGAATACACTTTCAGAAGATGGTTTTTATCGCTCTATTTGACGGTTTTCTGAAGAGTCTAACAGTATTCGTGTACAGAAATTGAATAATCACAATGCAAAAAAAGCTTTTTTTTGTTTTGTTTCTAGTCCAAATATTTTTTAAAAATCTTAGTTTTTAGAAGAAAAAAGTAAAAATTAAGAGTTTTTTGCTTGTTTTAAGGAAATGATCTGTCTGTGCGTGCTATAATCTTGTTTTAGCTTAGAAATGTAGATTTTTGGACTAGAAACAATACAAAAATTATAAGATTATTATTTTTTTTTGGCATAAATTGCATATAAATACAGTGATTAAATACATATCTGAAGCTCCTGCTCAACTACAATTTAGTCTGGACATCGCATATCTTTGCGATGCGACTATTCCATATGTGCACATTGTGATATTGATGCTGAAGCGAAGTATACCTTTTTTGCCTTCAGAACTGCATTAAAAGCATTTAAAGCACTGCATTTAAGCATTTACTGTTAATTTACTTAGCATCAGGCCATCCAAGAGATAAACATTAAGTTAATTGCTCAGTTATATCTCAGTTGACTTGTAACAAAGGTTTTTAACTTAATCCAGGTCTTTTGTGAATAATAAAATGGTTTCATTTTAAAATTAATTAATTTTTTTGGTGAGGGTTTGTTGACTGGTGTATGTAGAGCCTTTATCTTATATTTGGATTTGATATTATAAGAATAACATTTAAAAAATGTACAATTAAAGAAAACTATAATTTACTCTTTTTTTTATTGTGGTTAGCATTTGCAGTTTAAATAACGAGTGTTTTAAAGAAGTAGCATTGAGTATAAATATTTGATCATTTTCCTTATACAGCATTCATACTATTTAACATTAAAATATGTACATACTGTTTATACTGTAACCAGAGGGGAATCATGTGACAATGAAGTTTTAATCCATGCGCAGCTTTATTTAGAATCATCAGACAGGTAATGGTCAATCACAGGAGCAAACGGATAGGTAAAAAAGGCAAATTCATATGCGTTGTCAAGTCATTTGCCTAATGGTCGAAACAGGTGGCAAACAACAAAAACAAGACAAGGGTCTAGGAACACGGAAAGACTAGACTAGGAAACTATTTGTAGTGTACCAGTAACAAAACTCAGCTACGTGTGAGGGAATGTGAGCTTTGTATATAGTCTGTGTAATCAGTCTTTAGGTTTGTAATCACCAGTGACCTGGAAACAGGTGTGTGTGTGTGAGGTGCATGACGGGATTTGTAGTTCAGGTGACAGAGTGCATGTTTGCAAGCGATCTGCAAACCTGAATCACTGGTGTTCGTGACATATACATTGTCTACATTGAATCTTATTTAACAGTTTATTTTAAAATATGAAAAGTAATAATTTTATGTAAGGAATCACCACTGAAATTACTGAAATCGCATACCTATATGTTGCTTTGGATAAAAAAAAAAAATTATAGATAGCATGGTAATGATTTTAAACATGTAATGAACTGCCTTTATCTCAATAGTCAAGCCTGAAAGTATGTAAATATATATATATGTACAAATGTAATTATTGGATTTTGAGTATGTATTTAGTTTTGAATCTACTGAATATTTTTGAGGAGATTTGCTGTCAT